GGAAACAGAGCTCCCACCTGCTCATGGTCCTGCAACCCAGCCAGCAAAGCTCCTCCCAGCCAGCCCTTCTTCCCAGGTCACACCTGTCCCTCAGAAAACCCATGCAAGGTTCCTCAGGGTAAGGTACATGTGTCCCAGGTGCTCTCCCTCCATTCCCAGCAAGCTTTCCCTTGGCCAGACAAGAACTGAGCCTCACAGGGCTTCCTGTTCCCCAAGGCTGAGGCCAGATGCTACTACAGGAGCCAGGAGATCCCACACATGTGCAAGAGGCTGCAGTGACCTCTCAGGATGCTTTTGTCCATCTTCACACTCCCTACTGTGTAGCCTGTCCCAGGTCTGACCCTCTCCTGGTCTTCTGTCAGGGCTGTTGTCTCTTCCATAAAATAAGGATACACGAGGACCCTTTCCCTTGCACCCTAGGATGAGGGCCTCCTACATGAGCTCCGCAGCATCTGCCTTCCCAGTGCACAAGGGTCCCTGCAGCTGGCCTCCTGGTGACCTCCGTGGAAGGGCACCCAGAGGGATAGGCAGAGGCCTGCTGATCCCCTTAGAGAACAATCAGCACCACAAGCCATGGGCCCCACTAGCTTCACAGTGTTATAAGAAGGACAAGGACCTTGGAATGACTGCTGCAAACACTCTTGATCAGGTAGGGACTTGGAAGTAAATCTTTTTTGGTGTTCAGGGGTCCTGTTTTGAAAACGTAGTAGGCATTGTGCATATTTTAGGCTCTCTCAACACAGTGCAAACACATGGCAGCCCTCTTTCAGTCCCCAAATGATCAAAGGGATTTGTTCAGATGCCTCAAAAGTAGTAAGACTCAGGGAGAGAAAGTAAGTGCTATACACATCTCACGGTTCCTGGCACTTGAGCTACAATCGGCCCGCCAGCAGCTCTTCTTGCCCTCTGTAGACAGTCTCCACCCATCCTACTGCCTGCCCACCTACATCCATCCACCATCTGTCCACTCACATGTCCATCCACCAATGCACCTGTCCACCTGCCTATCGCCTATCCATCTGTGTAACACGCATCTGTCATTCATCCAACCAGCCATCTCCCCTTCCCTCATCTGTCTACCCATCCACCCATCCCTCATCATCCATCTGCCTATCCAAATCTGTCCATTCCAGGCCCTCCCCAGAGCTCGAGTTGCCACACCTGACTAGTGCCCTTCTCCTCCCTACACCTCCTTGTCATCCACAAGCTCCCCAAGATAGGTGACTCAGCACACCCCAATGCACAACATCTAAAACCAGCAGGGCTAGTACCTAGAAGTAAGGAGACTTCACCTCATCCATCCTCCTCTTCAAGGTAGGGACTCCCTCCATTGGACAGTGAGTCACCACCAGAAATAGAACTCCTTCACCTTTCAAAAAGCCTTGGCCATTTCCACTCTCATGTTGATGATCAACTCCTGTTCTCAAAACTTTCTTATCCTCATTCTTGAGACTGAGCACCTCACACAGTACTCACTTCATACTCTCAGTCTGCAACTGGTACTGCTTATGTTGACTCTTGGATCATGGATGGATGGATGGATGGATGGACGGATAGAGATATAGGTAGAGGGATGAGTGGTGAGTAGATGATAGATGAATGGCGGGTAATGGACAGATGGATGGTGGGCGATGGGTGCTAAGTGATGGGTAATGGGGGGATAGATGGATAGAACAAAAGATAACTGACACTTTGCATGAACTTAATAATTGTTACATGATACCACAGTAAGTCCCTGGGGGAAATGGCTTCCCAGATGGATGTGCTTTTTTAAAAACAAAAACAAAAACAAGGTCTTACTATACAGTCCAGGCTGGACTTGAAGTCATGGTGATTCTCCTGCCTCAGCCTCCTGGGTGCTGGGATTACAGGCATGAACCACCACACCCAGTGTATTTGCTTCTTTTATATAATATTTTGTCACATGATTCCCTTCTTCCTTCCTTTGCATTCACTACAATGTGGAAAGAGTTTTGAGTTGGAACAGGCTTTTGCTAGCTAGAAAAAGTATGGTGGACATTTTGAGATAGTCTAGTATTTAGACTATAGCACAGGTACTGGTGGCCACATTAAGCCAGGCTTCAGCATATGACTTTCTTTTCTTACCAAATCTAGAGCTCCCCACTTTTGACTTGAAAGCCTCGTTTTCTGCATACTCCCTGGCATATACAAATGGCCAGCTTCACTTTTCTTGTGCTTTGAGGCCATCATTAGATAAAACAAGGATTATTTGAATACAAGTACTATGATATTGCAACTACTGTTCTGATAGCCTAGGGGCACTAGGTGACAAGTTCATGACATCCCAGACAAGCTATATGTCAGAGGGGACAGAGCAAGACAACATGAGATTTTATCGTGCCACTTGGAACAGTGTGCCACTTAAAATATATGAAGTGTTTCTTTCTGGAATATTCTATTTAACATTTTCAGACTGTAGCTGAGCATGGGTATCTGAAGCCTCTGATGAGGGGATGACCATACCACTACGTAAATCTTTGTGTTGGACACACCATGCATTTTTATCCAGCCCCCTGTTGGTGGACACATAGACTTGCAGTCTGGAGCTTTATGGTAGTGGGCTGCTGTACTTGGTTCTGAACCTGGGAATAAGTTTCCCTGGCAGTGGAGACCCATGGCAGGGGCGGGTGTGTGCCCAAGTTCTCCAAGAGGAGGAATCTAGGTTCCCTTCACTGCAGTCAAGACCACTGCTCTGCCCATGCCTCTCTGACCCTGTGTGCCTGCTGTCTCACCCCCAGGGACGAGGTGAGCCTCACTTGGCTTTGGTCTGCATTGCTCCACAATCAGTGGCAGTGAGAATCTTCCTGAGTGCCCACTGACTCTGGTGTAATTTTTTTCATTTGTTTAATTTTTAGTGAAATATAATGGTTGCACCTATTCAGAAAGCATAGTGTATTTCACTTTAGGAATACATTGTATAATAATCAAATTATAGTTTTCGCATATCTCAAACATTTATCATTATTTCTGATGAAACATTCAAATCCTCCCTTTCAGCTATTTTAAAATGTATGACATTATTATTTGCTGCAGCCACCCTACTTCCAGCCCTTATCCAGTGCACCCTGGGGCAGGTGCTACAACTGCAGGTGGCCTACTCCTGCACAGCAGCAGATCACGGGGAAGGCCATGCTGGTTGAGGCAATGGCATGTATGAAGGCAGACTTCTGGGTGCCTGTGGGGAGAGAAGATGTAGTTATCTGTGCTCATCTAGATCTAAAATTCTCCTGGGAGCTCAAGTGCTGAAGGCTTGGACCCTGGTGCAACAGTGTGTGGCTGGCTCGGGGAGGGTCCAGAACAGCATGGACTCATAGAAGGTGCTGGAAATGGTGGGAGGTGCTGCCCAGCTGGACTAGGTCGCTGGGACACTTCTGGAAGCCGATACATCCCTGGCTCCTTTGCGACTCTGCCCAGCTCAGGTGGCCGGTCTGTTCCCTACCATGCTGTTCTGTCTCACCTAAAAGCAATAGAGCCCAGGGACCTCAGGCTGGAACCCCAGGAACCATGATCCAAATAATTCCTTCATACTTTAACTTGATCTTGTTAGATATTCTGTCACAGAGACAGAAAGCTAACATATCAATCAGGAATAATTGCCCTTAGGATGGAAGGGGAAGAGGGAAAAAACAAAATACAAGATAGTTACACACACACACACACAAAAAAAATACTACTAGTTTCTTAGTTCATTGAAAAATGAAGATTTAGAGCCGGCCAAATAGCTCAGCAGATTAAGCACCTGCAAGCAGGCACAGGGGCCGGGGGTTCAATCCCCAGGCCTGCAGTGCCGGCCCCACCCCCAGGGCACACTGAGAAGGCAATTGAGCCTGGGCATGGTGGTGCATGCCTGTAATCCCAGCTCTTGGGAGGCTGTAAACAGGCAGATCACTACAAGCTGGATCTAGTAGTGAGACCTTGAACACCCCGTAGACCCTTCCCTAAAATACAAAAAAACCCAAAAACAAACAAACAAAAAAAAAAACATAGATACACTCAGCAATTTTTTAGGGATCGGGATAGTTCAGTAGAATAGGCTCTTGCCTGGCAAGTGCAAGGGCCTGAGTTCAATCCCCAGTTCTGCCAAAAAAAAAAAAAAAGAGTAAAGAAAATGAATATTTGTGCTCATATCATTTGGACAATTTTTTATGCCCCCATTTTGCACTCTGAGTAACTACTTTAAAAATAACAATACTCAATGTATTAACTATTGCTATTCTCTTATTATTTTGTTATGAAATGTTTTGCTTGCTTCCATAAAATAAAAAATAATTTATTTCCCTTACCTAAGTGCAATTCTGTACAGTTTGGGAACCTCTCCCTACCCACCTTCCTTTCTCCTCTCCCACTTTCTACTTTTTGAGATCAAGCATTTAGGTGCCACAACACGTAGTCTGGTCTCTCTGCCCCTGATTTATTTCACTTAACACAATGTCCTCCAGTTCTACCACACTGTCACAAGTGACACATTTCCACCCTTTTTTAGGGCAGAGCAGTATTGCGCTGTGCATACTACAAAGCTGTTCTAGCCAAGACCGCATGGTACTAGCACAAAAACTCACCAATGGAACCAAATAGAGGTTGCAGCTATAAAGCCACACATCAGCAACCAATTTATTTTCAGCAAAGATCTGGAGAACATATGCTGGGCAAAGGGTAGGTGTTTTCATAAATAGGGCTGGAAGGCTGGGAATCCACATGCAGAAGAATAGCAGCCAACCCTGACCTCTTGCCATATACAAAATCAGCTCCACCTGGACAAAAGACTTCAGTGGAGGACCTGAAACTATGACACAATTAGCAGCAAGCAGAGGCAATGCCACAGGACAAGAATGGGCCAGGATTTTATGGACGAGACTCAAGGCACAGGCAGCAAAGCCTCACGGCTGCTCTCTGAGAAGCTCTCCTCTTTGGTCCTAGTTTGTGAGTGCCCACTGTGCCCCCACACTGCCTGGTAAGCCCCATTTCTTTTCTCCCCACAGCCACCCGGGAATCTGCCTTCGTCCATGCCATTGCCTCAGCCGGTGTGGCCTTTGCTGTGACTCGCTCCTGTGCAGAAGGCTCAGCCGCCATCTGTGGTTGCAGCACCCGCCACCAGGGCACACCGGGTGAGGGCTGGAAGTGGGGCGGCTGCAGCGAGGACATAGAGTTCGGCGGGATGGTGTCCCGAGAGTTTGCAGATGCCCGGGAAAACCGGCCAGATGCCCGGTCAGCTATGAACCGCCACAACAATGAGGCAGGGCGCCAGGTATGTCAAGGGGCCACAGGAGCTTCCTGGGTGGGATGACACATGTGATGGCTAGGCCAGGGCCATCTGGTGCATTCCTCTAACGTGACAAACCATGAGAAGGAGGAAGGTTAAGGCTTGGCCTGCCTGAGTCAGGGAGGGAGATTGTGAGGCAGCTATGGAGCATGATGTGGATTTCTGCTATGAGGGGGTCCACACAGAGAAGGTGACTAGACAACAGGGTAGAGACAGACAGGAAAGACTGGTAGATGGCACGGGATAGATGGATGGGATGGATGGATGGATGGATGTGATGTTATGGATGGATAGATGGATGGATGGATGGATGGATGGATGGATGGATGGATAGATAGATGGATGGATGGATTAGATGAACAAAGGGGAGGGGAAAATGGATTGGATGGATGGATGGATGGATGGATGAATTGGAGGGAGAGATGATGGGTAGGTGGATGGAATGGACAGTTAGTAGGTACACTGCTAGATTGACAAATCCTCATAAAAATATGGAAAAAAGAAGGATTGATCCAACAAAACTTAGAAAGCTTCCACCTTTCTGCCTGGAGAGTAATTTGGCTTTGTCACTTGCATCAGGAAGAATGGAAAGAGAGATAAGAGCTCATTGTGAGATGTGCTTGGAGCTCCTTGGACCAGAGGCACCACTCACCCATGGCAGATAACAAACTCCCAAGCACATGACTGCTCACAGTCTTAGATGGCCCCAAACTGAATCTTTAAGTCAGCGGAGGAGAATCTGAGGTACAATCCAGAAATTTCTAACATCTGGTATCTTGAGAAGTAAGCCTGACCATGGATGTGGAAACAGGAAGACATGTGCAAAGCCTGTTTTGAAAGCCTTTTACAACCAATCGGCAGAACTCCAGTGGCACAGCTGGTTAGTGTGTGACACCTACATAACCCTGTGGACAGGAGCGGCTTCTCCTTTGCATGCAGGTGTCAGAGGGTTTGTTCTCTGCGAAGGTGACTTTGGTCAGGGGAACAACAAGCACATCTGTGATTGAGCTGCCACATCGGAAATGACCTCTCTCCACTTGGATGGTTCAGACCTCCATCTGTCTTCCTGGTCTCCTGAGGCCAGGTGGAAGGGTGGAGGTTCCCCTCTAGGGAATCCAACCAACCCAGAAAGAAAGGCCTTAGATACTTCAGCAGGAAACCACAGTAGAGAAAGACAGTCAGCCTCATGGTCCATGTTGCCAGTGCCTCCATGCACACAGACCTCCAGCAGGATGTCTAGTGCCCAACTGCTTCATAAGCAGATAGACAAGCTCCACGGACAGAAACAGGAAGAGGGAAACACACACACACACACACACACACACACACACCCCTCACAGGAAAGAGTAATGAGGAGAGAAGAGATCATCACAAAACTTCAGTAGGCCGGGGAGATGGCTCAGTAGAATAAGCATTTGCCTGGCAAGTGCAAGGGCCTGAGTTCAGTCCCCAGTTCTGAGAAAAAAAAAAAAAAAAAAAAAAAAATCAGTAGCCCTAAAGGAAGACATTGCATCCATGACATTAGAATAGGAATATTAATTTTAAAGAATAGAGAGGAAAAAATACGAAAGAAGAACAAATACAAAAATCTCAGCAGAAAGATGAAAATCATAGTTTCCCACAAGGTACAAAAAAAGACAGAGATGAAAATTGATGAGGTGAGGACAGAAAATTTGGAATGTGTTCACCAAGAAAGACAAGGATAGACTTAAGGAGGAAATTGATAAAGGAATAAAGCAGGAAATTTTCCCAGAACTGAGGTTCTAGACCACATTGGCCCAGCCAGTAGGTGGACAGCAGAGAGGAAGGAGCCATGAGAAAAAATGTTGTGAAATTCACAGCTGTGCCATGGAGAAGTCCTCCAAGTTTCAAGGACAGTGTTTGCATTTTATGCAAAGGATTAGGAACCAAGCTGCATTAGGCTTTCAGGATGAATAGTGAAACCTGGAAGAACATGAGGTCATACCTCTGAGAATCTGGGACAAATGGTTTTAAACCAACACATATCCAGATGAACTATGAGTTAAATGGCACAATGTAGAAAAAATTTATTTCCAGACACACACATTTCACAAAATTTAGCAGAAGGCTGCTTCCAGCAAATAGATGTGTCCACCAAGGTGAAATTAATAATCTTTCCCATCTTGTAAGATGGCGGGTGAAAAAACTGAGAAGCCAGACACTGAAGAGAAGAAACCCAAAGCCAATAAGGCTGCTGCTAGTGGCACTGGTAAAAAGGGTAAGATGAAGGCAAAAACGTCCAAGAAGGGGCAGCCCCACTGCAGCCGAAATCCTGTCCTGGTTAGCAGAATTGGTAGAAACTTCTGATCTTTTATATATTCCAGAAAGGCTTTGTACAAGAGAAAGTACACAGCTGCTAAATCAAAAGTTGAAAAGAAGAGAAAATTCTTGCTACAAGCACAAAACCAGTCAGTGGTGACAAGAATGGAGGTATCCAGGTGGTGGTTAAGCTTCAAAAAATGCCTAGATACTATCCTACTCAAAATGGGCCCCAAAGCTCTTGAGCCACGGCAAGAAACCCTTCAGTCAGCCAGTGAGGAAACTTCGAGCTAGCGTCGCTCCCGGCACCACCTTGGTCATCCTCACTGGGCGTCACAGAGGCTGGAGAGTGGTCTTCCTGAAGCAGTTGGCCAGTGGCTTGCTACTTGTGACTGGGCCTCTTAGCTTTAATCATGTTCCTCTCCAAAGAACACACCAGAATTTTGTGATTGCCCCCCCCACAAAAACTGGTATCAGCAAAGTGAAAGTCCCCAAACACTCACTGATGCTTACTTCAAGAAGAAGCTGCAGAGATCCAGACACCAGGAGGGTGAGATCTTTGACACCAAGAAAGAGAGATACCAGATTTCAGAGCAGTGCAAGATGGATCAGAAAGTGATGGACTCACAGGCTTTACCAAGAATCAAAGCTATTCCTCAGCTCTGGGGCTACATGTGATCCGTTTTTGTTCTGACAAATGGAATTTATCCTCATAAATTAGTGTTCTAAATTTCTTACTAAGAACCTAATTAAATACCTGATACATTAAAAAAGAAATTAATCAAATCAATATAGTTTGAATATATCAAAGAGAATATTTGGGCAATTAAGTGAAAATTTGGGGTTGAACCAGTGACAGCTACATTAATAACAACAAAGGCCATGTAGGAAAAGAGACATTGTAATATATCACATGGGCTGGACATGGTGGCACATGCCTGTAATCCTAGCACTCAAGAGGCTGAAGCAGGAGGATCATTTTGAGTTCAAGACCAGCCTGGGCTACAAAGTGAGCTCAAGGCCAACCTGAACTATATACTGAGACCCTGTCTAAAAAAAAAAAAAAAAAATCACGTGGTCCTGTACAATCCAACATTTTACCTGGGGCCAGTTTTATCAGCAGTGATTAGTGATCTATCAGAAAGTACACCAATTATATGGTGGGTGAGGTGGAAAAAGAACTGAAGACCCCTCCCTGCTTAGCACAGACAAAGCCTAATGCTCAAAAATGGATCTAGACTACATAGGGAGACCCTGTTTCCAGAAAAAGAAATCCACAAGTGGCAAGAGAAACATGTCATCTGACATAGTATCCCATGGAGGGTCTCCAGAACTCAGCAAAAGTGCAGTGCATGAGTGTGGACTGGAATTCCTGGGCTTTCTAAGAGGTCTTAGCAACAGGGCTTACATACTGATTTAAAAAAAAAAAAAACAACCTACTACAAAAGAGGCTGGAGAAGAAGCAAGGGCAAGTGGCAGCCCCTTTGGAAAAGCCTGGCTGCAAATGAGGCAAGAACACGATGTCAGTGGCTGGTGGCAGTGAAGCCAAAGCCAGTGTGAAAGGGAAGGCAAGGAGGTGCAGGTCTGGCCCTGAGCTGGCTGAGGTCTTCAACCAGCACATCACAAACAAAATAAGCTCAATATGAGCCACAGACCACAGCCACACAGTCAAGGGGAAATTATCCATTAGCCACAATAAAGGAAAGAACAGGTGAAACTGTGTTGATACTACATTGCATTTGAACTCTGTATTAGTCTGCTTCTTTTTTTGCTATAACGAAATGCTTGGTACTTTATAGGAAAAAAAAAAAAAAATAAAGGTTTCTTTAGGGACGGCGTCCCCAGCCTTTTGGGCTCCAGTGAGGGTGGATGGCACATGGTGGGAGACATTGAGGCTGAGCCAGGTGCCCATGTCGCCATCCCTCTTTCTGCCAGAACTCAGGAGGACGCCTCTACTGCCTCGGACCTTGCTTCACGCAGACAGCGAAGTTGAGGGAGGGCAGAAGGCACCAGGACCCCTGCAAAGCTGAGGGAGACCTAGGTCCTGAGAAGGCTTGAGGGCCCAGTCCCTGAGTAGGCCCTGGCCCCCTGGAGGCTCGGGAGCGCCCTGCCGCGCCTCCCCCAGCGGGTCTCTCCAGGCTGACGAAGCTCTCTCCCCTCGCAGGCTGTTGCGAGCCACGCGCACCTCAAGTGCAAGTGCCACGGGCTGTCGGGCAGCTGCGAGGTGAAGACCTGCTGGTGGTCACAGCCTGACTTCCGCGCCGTGGGCGACTTCCTGAAGGACAAGTATGACAGTGCATCGGAGATGGTGGTGGAGAAGCACCGCGAGTCGCGCGGCTGGGTGGAAACGCTGCGGCCGCGCTACACCTACTTCAAGGCGCCCACCGAACGCGACCTGGTCTACTACGAGGCCTCCCCCAACTTCTGCGAGCCGGATCCCGAGACCGGCTCCTTCGGCACGCGTGACCGCACCTGCAACGTGAGCTCGCACGGCATCGATGGCTGTGACCTGCTCTGCTGCGGCCGCGGGCACAACGCGCGCACCGAGCGGCGCCGCGAGAAGTGCCACTGCGTGTTCCACTGGTGCTGCTACGTGCGCTGCCAGGAGTGCGCGCGAGTCTACGACGTGCACACCTGCAAGTAACGCGCCTGCGCGAGGCCGGCGGGCAGGCGCCAACCGCGGGCTCTGAAGCCAACCCAGCTTAGGGGCTATCGGCCCGGGGCAGAACGGGGGTTCCGGGAGGAGCCAGCCGCCCACCCGCTGGTCGGGCCCCTGCAGCACCACACCTCTGCACCGGAGGCCCCTCCTCCGCCTCGGAGTTCCGGCCTTCCCGACCAGGACCTTCCCGGAGAAAACCTGCAGCCCATGCGCGGCCCCTTTTGGGAATGCACCGCTGTCCTGCCCAGTTGTCCCAGCCCAGCCTGTGGCCCTGCCGGTCTCATTTTGAGCGTTTGGTAAACTCGGGCCGCAGCGCAGCTATGCTGAGGACAGAGGCCCCTAAGCTGGAGTAGCCAGGGCAGGCCCAGGGCCTGTGCCACCGTGAGAACTCCCCAGCTTCTGATGAGCCGGCCAGCGAGTGGCGCCACCCAGGGGAGCTCTGGTTGGCCCGCCATAGTGAATCTTCCTCTCCAGGCATGGAGGGGACTGGCCCTGAGAGTGTGGCGAAGACACTCATAACGTCCTTCCCTGGCATTTGAATATGGGGTTTTATTTCCAATGCTGCTATATCTACCATCCACTGGAGTTAGACAGATGTGTTTCATTTTGATTTTTTTTTCTTTCTATGAAAGAAATTATTTTAGTGATAGTACATGAGTTTCAAATAATGGGAAAAGCTGAAGAAGAAAAAACAACCCAATAAGCCTGTGGTTTGTGCTGGAGTTTTTCCTTATATTCTGCCTATTTTATTTTGTATTAACATGCATTACTTGTACATATTAACAAGGCTTACTGTGCTGTTTCTACAAGTGGTCAGTCTGGTAGGTAGCATTCTGTCCTTACAACTAGTGGTGAGTCTGGAGGAGAGAGGAGCACACGGCCAGGACCAGGACAGCAGCCTGCCAAGAGCAGCGACATGGCTGGGTTTCAGGAGGAAGCAGCCAGGACAGTGGAGCCCAAGAAAGGAGGTACAGGCCAACCTGGGGAGAGGTTGCAGTTGGAGCGGAGGGTAGTGAGTGGCACAGAAGCTTAGAGTGTCCAGGGCAGGACAAGGGGCCGAGTGGAGACCTAGAGTTACGGTGCAGCGGGGCCAAGCCACCTCCCTGTGTCCACCTCCTTGGCCCCCAAGCACACAGCTAACACCCAGCCCACTATATCTGTGCCTGTTCCCATTGGCTGGGGCATGGCCTGGATGCTCATAACCTCTAAGTGGATAGTCACCAGGATGGTGAGATAGGAAAGGCCACCAGGGTGCCCTGGACCCTGAGCCTTGGGGGTAGTGCACAGGGGTGGCCCTTCCCCAAGAGCCCTAGGCCATCAGCCTTCCAGGTGGTGCACACCTCCTCACTCAGGAGTGAGTGCCTTGTGGAGACAGGTGTCTCACCTCTCCCTGCTGCCCCACCAGGATCTCTGTTGCCCTCTCTGCCATTCCACACTGGTGCCTAGTCTGTCCGCACTTCCCAATGTCCAGGCAGAGTCTAGGGCAGCAAAACCCAGGGACATGGGGTGGGGGGGTTGAAGGCAGCAAGCCCAGGTCCAGCACAGACCCCTATAAAGGCATTGCAAGCCAGCTACAAGACAGACTGCAGAGGGCAGAGGCTGCGGCAGCCTCAGTGACTCCCGGCATCAGCAGCATTGGCTGTGAGAATGATCATCCTTGAGTCCAGGGAGCAGGAGATCCATGCTGTCCCACAGAGCTGGTCAGGAGCCTGGATGCAGCCCCTTGCAGAATGGAGAAAACAGTCTCCCATCTCTCCAGGGCACAGTGTGCTGCTAGCCTAGGAGGAAGTGGGAACACAGTGCCCTGGTTGCAAATTGGGCACAGGGCATGGCTTTCCAGGCCATTTATCCCCAGGACAGGGTCCCTGATTGGCCAGCCACATGGCACCCACAAAAAGCTGGCTCATGGGGACATAAGGAGCAGGGTCTGAGGCTGCATGTGGCCTCCCTGGGGTCCTATGAGGCCCCTCAGTGTGACAACATTCAATGTGTTGAGCTAAAACCAAATACTACTTTCCTAGCTTGGCTTTGTCACAACCACACCAGCCTCCTCCAAGAAGTCTGGGGCTCAGGGAACATCCAGATTCAGTGATATGTGCTTAGCCCCTATGTGGCCCCCACAACATCCCCATTGTCCCCCTTGGCCACCAGCAAGGAGGCTGTGTCCCAGCCCCACCCATTCAGGGTCACTGTCCCCTGGCTGTCAGCTGTGCCTACCACACCTTCATACCTGAGCCCCAAGGACACTCAGCAGTGTCCCAGCAGGGTGCAGGAGGAAGAGCCCCTTAAACAAAGAGGAGGTGGAGGGGGGAAGGCTGGGAAGACGTGGGCAGGACAGCATGGAGATGTGGTGTTTGGACAGAGATGTGACTGGGAGGGCCGGTCACTGGGGACCCGTCCAGCCCACCATTACATAGACCATGGAGCAGCAGCACCGCAGCACCCTCCAGATGCAGGTGATGAGAGCCAGTGACCAGGAGGCCTTGGGACTATGTGCTCTGCAGGGCTCCATCCCTACCCATGGTCTCAGAGTCCCATACCACCCTAGACCCTGGCTGGAGGGTGGTAGCCTGATGTCCTGAGCCCATGAGCTCCTCCCCTGGGCCCCTGGGCCCTATTCTACCCCATCTTCTGTGGCATGTACACCCCAGGCCAGTGGCTCACAAGGGCTTGGAGACCTGTACCAGCTGGCATGGGGACAGAGCTGCTCTGTGAAGAGGAGCAGGAAGAGAGTACCCACACTCACTTTGGGAAATTAGTCACCACTACCTGGGCTGAAGCCATGAGGAAGCGGCCCCCAAAGCAGTAATGGGCCCATGGTCAGGCTAGTCCCACAGGTTCCAAGTGTCTTGTATACCTGCCCTAATTGGCACCTCCTGGTGCACTATGCCAGGGGCCCCAGATGAGGCCTGGCAGGCCACTTCCTCATGGCCTCAGCCCAGGTAGTGGCAGGGAGGCAAAGAGGCAGGGCAGAGTCCATCAGAAGTAGTGGTGCCCAAGGACTGGCAGGAGAGATACCTAGAGCATGCTCAGCCCTGGGAGGAACAGGCCCACACACCCACTCACAGAGCCACCTGGAAGGCCAAAGGCCCCTGCACCAAGACTGCCCCACTGGGCCCAGGGATAGGGCAGCGCTGGCCTAAAGACATGGCTCCCCAGGGTGACCAAGGGGTCTCCTTACCCATGGTCTCAGTGGCCCAGAGGGTGGTGCTGGACTGGCCCTGCCCATTCACACCACCAGCACCTGGGGTGCAGAGGGCAGATTCCGTAAGAAGCTGACAAAGGAATGGGGCATCCACAGCCACAGAGCCCCAAGACAGACACAGTTAATAGCAGCTGAGAAACTGGAAGGTGAACCCCCCCCCAGCCGCCTCCGCAGGGTCTTGGAATAGTGGCTCTCAGGGGTCCTGCTGGCCCAAGCTGCCCCCTTCTGAGGCTCCTCTGGGGATTTACAGCCCCCTCCACCACCCTGAGGAGGAAATGAGCTGGCTGGCCTGTTCGCAGGTAGTTGAGACTGCCCACGAATAACCATATAAAAGGCCCGGAGGTTGTGGCCCAGCCTCCTGCAAATCTCACACTCTTGGCTTTGAAGTCCTGGAGGGGGTGTACCCACCCCCACCTTGGGCCCCCATGCCCTGTCCTTCCTTTTCCTTTGGACTCACAATGCTGGGTCCTGGGGATGCATCCCAGCAACACCTAGGTGGAGCTATGTGGCCTGACTGGACAGTTCAGGCCAAGTTGCAGGATGAGCACCCAGGACAAGAGGCAGCCAGGAAGGCGACTGGCAAGTCCCTGGGGCCTCCCTGAAGAGGGTACCAAGCTGAAGCTTGCATGTGCCTCAGTCAGCCTATTTGCATGGCCACCACTGGGTCTGGCGAGGCTGTCTTGGGCCTAGGTCTGCTGAAAAAATAACCTGCAGCCTCATCAGCAGAGCCTGCCTGGGCTGGCACAGGCCCTTCCTGGTATTCAGCATCTCAATGGGTATACAAGTGAGCATGGAGCCATAGCCCTGAGCTATGGCTCTGAGCCAGGGTCCTCACCTTGGGGTCCCTTGTGCCAAGCAGAGCTTAGCAGCTGGACCACTCACCCCAAGAGGGAACACTGGAAGTGGCTCAGAGGGAGCTTTGAGGTACCCAGAGGTCCCTGCAGTCTGCCTTGATCTCTGGCCATAGCCACTGCCCTCTGACGCTAGGGACTTACTTCTCCTGAGTGCTTCCACCTGCCCAGGAGGTGATGGGACAGCCCTATCCTGGGGCTTGGCTGATGGTTGGGGACAGGGACCAAGGACTGGGGACTAGGCCTCGTGCACTCCAGCTTTCCCTAACAACCACCCACTCACCCTCTGGACCTACCATTCTCCCTGGAAGGTTGCCCGGGGACAAGATCCCTAAGGTTACAGCCAGCCCGGAGTGGGCCTGGGGCACCCTCACTATCCTCTGCAGCCCTGCTGGGCTAGATGTACCAGCCATCTTGAGAGTGCAAGCTTTTGGGGTGATACCCCAGACTCAGGTGCTGGCCAAGGTTCACCCTGAGAGTGGGGTCATGTTCTTCTTTGGTAGCTGCTAAATCACCACTGGATGGGGAGGCTACTGCCCTTCCAGAGAAACCCTGGGAGATGCCAGAAGGGTGAGGGCGAGAAGGCCAGGGAAGCCTGGATAGGGTTCCCAGCCAGGCAGGCATGGAAGGACCAGGCACGGAAGGATGCTGTCAGAGCCGCTAATTGCTGTTTAGCTCTGCTCCCTCTACACTCTGCCTGCTTGGCTTTTTCCCTCTCTCTGTCTCTCTGCCACTCACTTTTTATCTGAGCTTTCACAGCCACAGTAAATAGTCATTTGGCTCTCAGGGCTCTGCAAATTGGTGTTTATGGTGTGAAGAAGGGAGGGCCAGTGCCCCAAACTCTGTGGGGGTGGGGGGCACAGAGGGCATGGCAGAGGCAGCTTGGGAGTGCCGGGTATAGCCCCGTCCATCCTCCTGCCTTGCTTGCTGGATGCAGGGAAGCAGGGCCTTAGTGCAGGAGAAGACAACAGGGCAGGACTTCCCAGGAAGCTGCTGCCAGGAGAGGCAGACATGCCCAAGCAGAGTTCTGCACTGTGCTGTCAGTCAGACGGGATGGTACGGGTTTTGCCTCCCCTTCAGCCCTCATGTGCTTCAGGGAGGCCAGTGGATGGCTGGAGTTTGGAGTAGACCTGAGGGCAATACAGGCCTCTTTCTCAAGTGTTTTTATTTTCCAGGTCTGTGTCAGGGCCTGGTGGGAGAAGTGGGCCAGCAGCCTTCCTGCATATCCCTTGGCTCAAGAGTCTTCCATGGCTCCCCAGTGCCCATGAGACAGAGTCCAGGCTCTTGACTGGTGCCCCAGTGGGTGAGTGCTACAGGGTTGTGTGTAGCCTCTAATCTGTGGAGCCAGTGACTAAGCCCAAGGCAGGGACTTCAGCTGGTGCCTTCCTGTCCCACCCACAGCTACCTTGGCCTCAATTTCTCTGGTCTTGGACAACCTCGACCTCTGTGCCTGCTTCTCACCACCTTTGGCAGGGCTGTGTCCTCTGACCTCATCATCCCAGACCTTGCTCAGAATCTTTGGAGGTCCCCCTCATCCCAGAAGGTACTCCAGAGCCTCTGCCTCTCCTTCCCACCACCCAGAGCACATCACTACCCAAAGACCCTGGAAGGCCCTGGAAGTTTCCGCCTGCACCTAGGAACCTGGAATTGGCGATGCAGGTGGCCACTGCTGCCCAGCCTGTCCTTGAAGCCATGGTCCTCAGCCCTCCAGCTCTGGGCAGAACAGCTGTCAGTGGCCCAGCCCTGGAGCAGGCTGAGCAGGCCATAGCCACATCGTCAGAGCCTGCAGGGTGTGCCCAGTGATCCAGCACAGGAGATGAAGGTGGGGTCTCCAGTGTACTGTGCACGGTGCCCACCGCAGATGATACCAGACAGCCAGGGACAGTATAAGGGCAACATGAGTCTAGGGAGGGCACATTGGCCATAGCCCAGCAGCCCTCCACAGATAGAGGGCTGGGCCAACATGGGCTCTCCTCCCTGAGGGCCCCCATGGCTCCTGCCCAGCCAGGCTCAGAGAGGACAGTGGTCAGGTGACTTGGACAGGGCACAGTCACCTGGCCACAGTAGGTGCCTGGGAGGAGGATCAAAGCTGCTTCTGGTGCTACATGGAAAAACCTTCTCTGTGCCCAAGTGGGGCACTGCCAGGTTCCTCCACTCACCTGCCTGCTGGAAGACCAGGTACCTGTAAGGTAGAAACAGCTTCTCCAGCAAACTACAGACTTCCAGGTCCTGAAAATACTTGCTTCACTCTTGGGAACACTGCAGAAGGGATGGGGCTAGTATGATAGGTGCCACATGCTTCCTTCATGCCCCTGCCTTCCACCTCCTATCCTGGCCTGGTATCCAGGATAAGCGCTTCCTCCTCAGGTTACTAGGTGGACAGGACCATCTCCACTCTAATTCCTCCCTGTGCCTGCAAGCTCAGGAGTAGGGCTCGAGAAGGGCCAGATGCTTATGTGGCCCTCCCAAGGATCTGGGTCTGTGCTCTGGGTGACCTGACCAGGGCAGCTGCCAGGCGCACCCTCCCAGGCCCCGCCCCCAGCCAACCTGACACTTAACACTCAGTCTGCCAGGCAGTGGGCTTGGAGCCAGTCCACCCTGACCGGCCTCCTACTGGTGGTTTGCGGCTTCCTTTCCTGTGGGTGACGGTGAGTTTCTTTCAGGGGACAGCAGCCCTGCAGTCAGCTGCCTCGGTCGTGTCCTAGCCTGGGCACCTACCGGGCTGCCCTGGACCCTCAGCCCTGCTTGGTGGGCTCCAGGCTCTCCTGAGACTGTTCTGTGGCCCTCGGCGGCTGCCGGCCCCTGTAGGACCTGCCCTTGTCTCTCTCTCTGTCCTCTCCAGCCATGTTGGACCAGGAGGCTCAGACCCCAATACCAGGCAGGCAGCACAGCCAGCCCCTTCCCGGGAGCTGGGGCTGGGGAGGACAGGGCTCAGCCTGCATAGCACCCGACCCCTACGTGGGGACAAAAGGAGGTTGTTGGGGCTCAGGACTGGAGGAGAGGTGGGCTCGCCACGGACCCCTGCACTGGGACTCGAGAGAGCTGCCTCGCGCAGATGTCGAGGTGGGGCCCATGCCGGCGGGTGCTGGCGGCGGATGCCTTCAGCTGGGCTTTTTAATTAACCTCTGCTGGCAGCTCCAAGGGCCCCAATTAAGTGGAGAATGCGCTGGCAGAGTGGGGTCAAAGACAGGGGCGGGTTTAATTAAAGTGCAGTGGCCTGGCCAGGAGCGCCCCCGCCTGGCAGCCTCGGCATCAGCACTCTCGCCATGCAGTCAGTCACCTGACAGAAGGCGGCTAGGAGCTTGGGGTCCAAGTGGGTGGCCCCAAGCAGGCAGCACCCCCACCCCGTACCCCCGCCCTCCATCTGAGCTACTTTGTCCCCTCTACCAGTTTGTCACCTGTCCTAGAATAACACCACTCCCCGGCTTGTTCAGTAAGTACACCCCAGTATCAACAGGGTCGCTGTTTCAAATGCCACAAATAAATCCAGTGCAAATGCAGGAACATGAGGCATGCCACAGACAGAGAAAGGCAGAAAGGGCAGGTCCAGTCAAGAATTGGGCAGGAGCCCATGTGGGGAAGACGGTGTGTGCAAAGGCTGTGGACAAGCGTATGAGGCTAGGTGCTGAAGGTCAGCATGGCTGAAAACAGGAAGTGAGTGTGGAAGGAGCAGGCCACTTCTCCAAGGAAGACACACGAGCAGCTAGCCAGGGAGAGACACCAGTGCAACTGCTGTGGGGAGATGCAAAGTGAGCCCAGTGTGCACCCCTGTCACCATCACACACCTTCACACACATGGCTACTGTCAGGGCCGTGCTAGTGTGAGGGAGCATGTACAGAAGCCAGCCTGTGTAACACTGCAGGGCGGTGCAGAATGGTCTCTCCTAGGGTACAGCAGGGTGGCTATTCCCCTAGAAACTAGAATCACCCTGTGACCAAGTGACTCCACTGCAGGGAGTTGCTGCCAAGAAGAGGATGCAGCCATGTCCACCAATGGGTGGACAGTGGAAATATGGCCCACTTGTCCAATGAATATTATTCAGCCTAGAAAAGGAAAGGAAGTGTGATGTGTGCTGTCTTACAGATGAACCCCAAGGATACTGTGCTCAGTGACAGAAGCCACATTCACAGGGCTTGGGGAGGGGGCTGGGAGTTACGTTGAGGTCAGAGCTTTCATTTGGGAGAGGAGAAACTCTGGAGACAGGAGGCAGTGCTGGGCACTGAGCAACAGGGTGAGTGGTCCCTCTCTCCACTGAAACCCCACAGCAGCTATCCTGAGTAAAACTGGTTAACACAGTACATTTTTTTGTCACAGTATTCTACCAGAATAAAGAGACAGAGCAGGATGGGAGGATGGTGGGTAGAATAAGTTTCAAGCTTTGCTTGGAGAGGCCTCATGCTACTAAGCAGGGAGGGACAGAGTGCCGACCTGCCCCTCCCCTGAGCAACATTCAGACCCTGGGACCGGATGTGCATGAGTCCTTGAGCCAAGCCTCCTGCTCCCTGGGGGAAGGCCTGGGTGTCCTGCATGCTGTGTCTAAGGACACCATAGGTCTGTCACAGGCAGTGTCCTGTCCCAGCAGCACTATTTTCAGACAGGTTGTAATAAGTGCAGCTGCAGGGCCTACATTCTCCACGCCTAGCTTCCCTTGACACAGGGCTTTGGGAGTGATGAGTGAGGGCAGGAGAGCCTGGCCCTTTCAGGACTGAGACAACCAGGGGACCCTGTCAGCCCTGAGCCTGACCCAAATCTGAGCACCATCTGGACAGGCCCTGTGCTGGGGTCTCCCTGATCTGCTGGAATTCCAGTGAGGGGTCCCAGAAAAGAAATGCTTTGATCCCCAAGCCAAAGCCTGAAGGCAGTGGACTGTTCAGAGCTGTACTTCCAGCTGACCAGCTGCCCATGCTGACCATGCAGGTACACACCCAGGTGGACAGCCAGCTGGCCACCTGCGTCCACCCCAGCCACTCTGCAGCTGCGTGTGCAGAGCCCAGGTGCAGAGGCATAGGGAGGGCATGCAGAGTGTCCAGACTGTCAGCATGGAACTCCACCTCCCAGCTTGGCTGCAAGTACGTACCAAGAGGTCTGCTTCACTACAACAACGGTGCCAGGGTGGGGCTAAGAACACCAGGGTTGGCCCTGTCCTAGATCTGCAGACCAGGGAAGGTACAGGCAGGACCCCCTTCCCAGACGCTCCTAAGGAGGCCTCTACCTGTCTCTCCTGCTTCTGGAGCCACATCTCTCCCTTGTTACCTTGCCTTGTGTGGGGCTCAGATCTCCCTCTCCCTTCATGAGCCCTGGAGTTCTGGCCACTCATGTCCAGGATGCTTTCATCTCAGAGTACTCTGGAGTGCTGCCCGTCAGACCCCATCCCAAATGAGTTCCCCTCCACAGTGCTAAATGAGTAAGACCTTCAGGAAGTGCAACTCTGATCCCTTGGGGGATCAAGTAATAAACCAGGAGCCACCCCCTTCCTCAACTCACACAGGACCCTGGCAAGGCATCCCTTGCAAGAATCCAGTGCACCTGCAGTCTGCATGCAGAAGCCACATGAGAAGGCAAGTACTGCATCCTGAGGTACATGTTCTTGATGCCCAGGCTCCTGAACAGCACCCACGAGGGCTGTTCAAGCTGCTGAGGATCCAGAAACTCAGCAAGCAGTGGAGAGCAGGTTGGTTCAAGTGTTCCCTGGAACTCACACTTTGGAAGCCCAGTCTCAAACACATGCTGTATGGAACCTGGAGGTTGGCTTTGAGGCAGACCAGGTCATGAAAGAGGCCTGGGTGGCACTGGTGGCTTTATAAAGAGAGGAAGAGGCTCACCTAGTAGCTCTCCATTGTGCCTTGAGATGGACAGGCTCCACCTATTTTCAAATTGTTGCCTTAGTGGAGTCTGAGGGAGAATTTGGGTTGCCTCTAATTGCACATACTGACATCCATGTCCTACTGGGTCCCCATCTTCCCACAGAGGTTTCAAGACTCCAGAACCTTGATCACCCTACTGTGTTGAGAGGGCAGAAGGCAGAAGGCAGCACACAGGGGCAGGGTCATGGAGAAGGACCAGATCCAACACTCTGACCAGACAATTTGAAGAAAGGAAGTGATGTCCGTAGAGCAGCACAGCCAAGAATCTCTGTCTGCCTGAGGCTTGGGGAGGACTATCTGCAATGGAGATGCTTTGGGTGCTTTTGATTTTTGTCTTTTTGAGTCTCAATATGCAATTCAGGCTGGCCTTGAGCTCATCTGTAGCCTAGACTGGCCTCTAGGTTGAAACAATCTTCCTGTCTCTGCCTCCTGATGGCTGTGCGTCTTTTTTCTTTTTTTGAGTCAGGGTTTCACTATGCAGTTCAGACTGGTCTTGAACTCACAGTGATCCTCCTGAGTTCTGGGATTACAAATGTGTGCCACCACACCCAGCTCTGGGATTTCTAGGGTGAGGGTTGCACCCACACAACCATTCACCAAAACTGGTGGGCTGCACACTTAATACAGAAAATGCTTGTGTCATACACATGGCTGTGTGTGTTCTTACATGCACTTGCACTTTTATGAACAAATCCCCAGTTGAATCCAACTCAAGGCTTCCCACCCCATCCACCTCCTGTCCTCTGGCCTGTTTCCATCTACCTCTTCAGGGTGGCTGGCCTAGGATTGGACCAAATATCCCCAACTGGATAGAGCCAGAACAGATCTCTCCTGTGACCTGGACTTGCAGACTTCTTTGGCCCCCAAAGGGATGGGTTTTCTCCCCAACAGCCAGCAGGGGTAGGGTGTAACCAGGCAGCAGGTTCTGGCTAATAGGTCTGCCAAGGTAGTGTCCTTGGCAGGGTGCTGGGGCTGAGTGCTGGAGTTCAGGCCCATGAGGTTCGGGTTCCCAGAGCCCACCCTGGACCCTTGTGCCTCTTAGATACAGACCTCTTAGATAGCCAGCTGCATACACTCTGGCCCATTCAGCTGGTCTGTTTAGGCTTGCAGACCTGTGGGAAAAGCAGATTCTTGGAACAGGAAGCTCTGGGTGACCAGAAGCTCCATGCTGTCCATGTACAACCTGAGATCCGAATCAGCTCCCCAGAGGGGGCCATGGCCAGTGTCTGTCTAGTCAGAGAGGAACAAGACTATGTGTGCATGGCAGGGACCTTCGAGGATCCCCTATCTGGTAAGGTCTTACCAGTACCTAAGAGAACAGACACACTGTGACAATGATCAAACACTTCAAGATGCATGGAACTTCACTTTTCCTGGTGTCTTTACAGACTGGGACTTCTTTCGTCATTGGTTCCAAAAATAAAGCAAAGCAACCCCCCCCCCCCCAGATTTCAGTTGCATGAGGAGAACAAACAAACCATTTCTGGGTTCCTCTTATGTCTCAGATCCAAAAAGTCTGAGATTTCTATCAGTAAGAGAACCCTCAGGTCTTAGCATTGAACTTTATCTTTTTTACACAGGGTCTTGCTATGCAGGTCAGGCTGGCCTTCAGCTCACTTTGTAGCCCAGGCTGGTCTCAAACTTGCAATGATCCTCCTGCCTCAGCTTCCTGAGTGCTGAGATTACAGGCATGTGCCACCATGCCTGTCTTGTATTCAACTTTAAAAAAGAGCAATATCTTGTCATTTGAACCAGCATGGACGAGACTAGAGTTAAGTGAAATAGGCCAGGCACAGAGAGACAAGCATAGCACCCCTCACTCACATGGAAAGCAAAAAGCTGATCTCATGGGCAAGAGCACAGACTGCTGCAGGGAGAGTGGGATGAGGGAGTTGGAGGTCAGGCGCACAATGCAGCCAGGAGGGAGGACTTGCTCTTGAGTTCTGTAGCACAGGCATGTGACTGTGGTGCTCTCTATAAAGAACTGGAAGAGAGGAGCTCAAAGACTCCCAGCAAGAAGAAATGGTAAGCACTGGCAGAGATGGAAACACCAGCTGCCCTGATGTGATCATCACACACTGCAGACATCTATCAAGCCACCACTGTGTGCCCCATAAACACATACAATTACATGTGTCAGTTTAGAGATTTTAGAGCCCACAAGTTCTGATAATACTGTGTTGGGAATGCTGCCTGCACTCCAACAGGAGGAAATGCTAACCCTGATCATAACTTCATAAAGCCCCAGCTTAATGCCTGCCAGCCCACGACTGCGCTAGAAAGCAGGCCCACCTGAGCAAGTGACCTGCGGGGAGGCCGGCACCACCTGCCTGCAGACAGCACCACTCACAGGTGAGGCTCCATCTCCGCATGCCCCTGCCTCAGATGCCACCTAAGCCCAGACTGTGTCCCCTGGGATTCCAACCCCACCCCACTGGCTATGAGGTGGGGTCTCCTCAACCCCTCCTCAGGATGGATGCCCCCCACCCCTGCCACAGGGATTGGGCCAGGGAACACTTGCTGTGTTCCTGCTACCTGTCAGGACAGTGTCAGGCTGCAGGCAAGTGCTCAGGGATGGTATGGGGAGGCTGTGCTTCCTGCCCTGCCTGGCCCCACTCTGCCCGTGTCCAGATCCCTGGAAGCTCTGAGCCCTGGCCTTGGGATTTTGGAGGCTTCATGATGTGGGCAGGACTGAGTCAGTGGGCTCTGGGGATTGGCTGCTCAGCCCCTCTGCCCTCCTGGATGCCAGGTGGGGCTGGGAGTCCCAACCCTGGGACCCTGTCTTGGTCTTTCTGCGCCAGCCCGTGAAGCCACCCAGGGCTGCTAGCCAGCAACAGGCTCATCAGCACACATGTGTCCCCAGAGCTCAGGACTTTGGCAGCTATGTGTGTCAAACCCTCATTTCACAATATCCCAGGGTTGGTAGGGGCAGCACCAGGGCAGGCAGGATAGAATCCTCTTCCCATTCAGCCTTGAGGAAGCTGCCAGCATAGCAAGTGCTTCCTATGCATGTGGGCCTGGGGCTATGTGTGAGCATAGAACACAGGGACAAAACACTGGTATCAACTGGGCCTGGCCAACTGTGAGCCCCAGGCAGGTGAGCCTGCTCTGACCCTCTTATGGGAGTGAGGAGGCAGAGTCGAAGGGTCCCTGACTACCCAATGTGGTTGGAGGAAACACTAGTAGGCTGAAGTGCTGGTTTGGGAGGCAAGCTCCCCATAGCAGAGGACTCTAGAGCACTGCTAGGCCAGCAGCAGACCAAGGCAGCCAAGTCCTGGGAGACAAGGAGTGGGATGGCAAAGGAACCAGAGTTGTGGGAGATAGGCAGATGTGGGGCTGAGCTGTGTGACACTGTGGATAGCACCCAAGGGGGTTGTGAGGTCACCTATCTCAGATGCACAGAGGCTGCACTTGGTGCTGGGCAGCAGGGAGTGCTGGGGTTGGAGTGAGGTTCTGCCAGCAGCGCCTGACCCTCAGACTCCATCCTCTCCCTGCTCCCCCGGCCCCCCTCTGGCCAGAAGGGTCCTACCAGTTCTTCGGAGAGGTAAAGGCCAGGCCAGGCCATAAAAGTGGATTGGTGGGGAATGACAGAGGCCTCAATTTCCCCATGTAACTGCCTTGTGCCAGGACCCACCCCCAGATGATCCCAGGATGGAGGCAGGGGGCAGACCAGACACACATCACAGAACAAGGTGTTAGAATACAGCAGCCCATCCACACAGAAGTTGTATGCAGCTCTATTTCCATTTTATTATTTATTTTGTAGTGCTCAGGATTCAACCTAGGGTGTTACGTGTACTAGGTATGCCATTGAGCTATATCCTTGCCCCTGGTTTTTTTTTTTTTTTTTTGTCTTTTTAAGACAGGGTCTCACTCTGCAGCTCAGGCTGGCCTTGAGCTCACTTTTTGGCCCATGCCAGTCTGGAACTTTCAATGATCCTCCTGTCTCTGCCTCCTGAGTTGCTAGGGTTACAAGAGGTGCTCAAAGTTGTAGCCATTAGGTTACAAACATTTATTAGTACAGCAAACTACTAAGGCAGTACTGCTGCAAAAAGAGATGTATACATTTTTTTGGCCTGTTTTCTCTCATATATATGTGTGTATACATACATAAATATATATTGCAATTTATCTAACATTCAGACTTCACTTAGACAAATACAACTTTACCCAAGGCTTCACTGAATCTAGAACACAACTGTTTGTTGGCACTTTGCAACAAGACCTAGTTGGCGCTTAGCACAAATTAAATATCAAATATCTACAGAAGTTGCACTCATTTACATGTATACAGTGTTTACCACAGCATATGGCATAGCCATCACTGCCCATACTGGCTCACAAATTTTTTCATTTTCCTGTAAAGAAAGGGGTCCTGTGCTCCAGTTCCAAGGAAATCCCCATTTGGTCACCGGGGGCCATCCCTGGATGCCCCTCTCAAATGGCCGTCACCACTGACCGACCCCAGGGCCCCTGCAGAGTGTACAGCCGGCTCGGGTGTGCGGAGCCAGCACCGCCTGCGCCCAGGGCTTTTGGGCTTTCACGACTGCTTACTGTGTGCTCAGCGGGCCGGCACAGACTCCAGGCAGCGGAGGGGAGCAGGCCGGACCCAGACGGCGCGTTGGGACAGGCCAGGGGCACCCAAGGCGATGCGCTGAGTCCTGGCCCCTCCGGGCCCTGCGAGGGACGGGCTGGCGAGGGGTGGGGCCTGGCGCTGGCGGTGTGGCAGTCGGGCTTCGGCCCTCAGCGACACACAGGGCACAGGCTGGTGGCGCCGGCGACAGGGACGCGGGCTGGGCCTGCAGGCTGCAGCAGCCTGCGAATCCTGCCGGACTACCTGCTCAGAGGCGCCCCGACCGCCCGGCGGCCCAGTCCCCACCCCGCCTGTCCCTGGCCCCCTGTGTTAAGCCTACCGCAGCCAGTCTGCTGGGCGCTGCGCCAGTGCAGGCAGGGCGGTTCGGACGCCCAGCCTGACCACTACCCGCCTCGGCTACCGCGTGCAGGCAGGAGGCCAGGGACCCTGGAGAAGATGTCGCACTCCTTTGATCCCATGTGGTCCTCCAGGACTCGTGGCGACTACCTGGACAAGGAGAATGGCACTCCAGGCCGGCTACTCCTGAGCACGAAGAGCGCACAGGTCTCCGCTCCGGCTCCGCAGCCAGGAGCGCAGCGCCCGGGGCACCACCCAGGGCTGCCGCCCCTGCTCGCCCCAACGACTTCAGCGCGCATGCGGGCTGTAGGCGGTCCGCCAGTGCGCCCGCCCCTTCCCGGCGTGCCCCGCGGCCCCAGGCGCTGACGTGGCCGCCGTCAGCGCCGCCATCTTGTGGGAGCGAAACCAACGCCTGGCTCGGAGCGGCTACCGCTGAGGTAAGGGCGAGGGGAGATTCGCGGCCAGGGCCGGGCACTGGGCGGCCGTGGGTTTCCTGGAGCCCTCCATAATGGCGGCGCTGGCGGCGGGGCCCGGCCAGAGTGGGCTGGGCGGGCCAGGCAGGGTTGAGGGCGCGCTCAGCCCCCGCGTCGCTCCCACAGCCTCCTGGGTTCCCCGCCCGGGCACTCCCGAGGCAGCCGCAGCCCGCAGCCCGGAAGTCCCCGGAATGCCGGGTGCCCTCCAGGAAGCGGGGTTTCCTGCTCTGTGTCCTTTCGGACGCCCGCACCGGGCTGGTGAAGCGGCCGCGGGGCTCGCGGGCCTCCCGGATGAAGCGCGACCAGCGGCCTCAAGGGCTGGGAAACTGAGGTGTAGGCGGGCACGAGAGCCGTCAAGGTCATACGGGCGGCAGGGCTGGCTCGCATTTCGGCCTAGAGTCCAGTTCCTGTTTGCCCCGAGGACCGGAGCCGGGTGAGGGAGGAAGAGAGGGAGCGTAGGGCAGGGGCCCCGGCCTACAGTGAGGCACTGGGGTGGGGCGAGAGCCTCCCAACCTCGGGGGTCCGAGTGCCCCTGTGTTTTGGAGGCACTACGCGAGGTTTGCGCTTGGCGGCCTCTTGGGAACAGCGCCGTCCTCTTCTGCGTGAGACTGGGGGCCGATCTGGGGTCGACCCTCAAGGCCCATGGCCGCCAGAGAAAAAGCTGAGCCACGTTCATACCCGGGTTAGTGCCTTGCTGTGGTTCTGGTAGATAAGAAGAGCTCTTTTAACTCGCGGTCGATTTGGATCAATCTTCTTGCAGCCTTCACGGCAGAGACTGGAACCAGTGCACAGTAGTGCACAGTCCACGGCCTGTCAGATTTTAGCAGGACCGCTGTAATGTACTAGGGTGCCTCTTTCCTAGCAGGGGACAAGTCTCCCATTTCATCCCACTAGCGGGTGTGCGCCTTGTGGAAACAGGGTAGAATTCTGTGTAGATCACAGGCAGGGAAAGAATAAAGGGTCACCCTGTCTTGCTTGGGTGGTTCCAGGGGTCACCATGAAGAGCTGCATGGTAGGTGCACTGCCGAGATTAGAGTGCTCAGTTGTAGTTCAGAGCGAGGTCAGCAGTTATTCCTGCAGGCTGCTTTGGCGTGTTCTGTAGAGTAATGAAAGCTAGTGAGATGCCATCCTGCATCGTGTGTGGCCTCTGTAGCCCTTCTCTGCGCGTTGACCAGTTCCTACAGGTAGGACTCCTGACTGTGTCCTCACTCAGTCTGAGTTTTCAGCAGCACTGCAGGAGTAGAGTAGCTGGACTGTAAGGACTTGAAATACACAGTAGTTAGTACTTGTGCGGTCCAAAAGTCAGGAGGAGAAGAGTGATAAAGTGCTGGTGGCATATCTAGCTGCTGTGTTTTGTTAGAGGCATGCTATCTCCTTCATACACTATTGGGCAGAGAACCATCTACCACTGCATTTGGGTATTTTGTGGAAGTGAGTTTGAGTTGCGCTGTACTCCCCCTTGCTTAGGAGGCAGATACAGAGTTACTACTTGAAGGGTTGTGGTGTAACTCAGTGGCAAAGTGCTGCTTACCACTCCCCAAGGAGCTGGGATCAAGCCCCCAAAAAGGTGTAGGGGAAACAGTTGCTGTGGATAACAGAAAGTAGATAGCAAAAACTGGTTTTATGCTCCTCAGTTCTGATTTTAAGTCACATAGTGAAAACAAACAAACATGTACTGGAAAATGTTCCCTGTGTTGCTCACACAGTACCTGTTGGGAGCCACAGGAAAGTAGGAGACTGATCAAATATGTGTAGGTAGGATTGGGCCTCATTGCCTAAAGCAAACAAGCTACCTCAGTCCTGAGAAAAACATTCTGTTGGGTTCAGGTCAGCTGTTAGTCCCTAGACAACCTTGTGTTGTGTGTCACAAACTTAGCAAAAAAAAGTATAAAGGATCATTTTGTTGTGCATAGAGTTAGTCTTGCCCATCTGGCAGACTAGCGACCACCTAGCCCAGCTTTTGTCCTGTGTATCTTTTTCATTCCTGCCGCTATACCTCCCCGGGTAGAACCATTCACAATAAGACCAACAGATCCCTACAAATACCAAGTGGAGAGGGTTTTCGGACATTTTCACCTGTCAAGCCACCTCTACTTAGGATCAGACAGGCTTGCAACTACAGGAAGGGACATTGCTTTTTCACTTTACTAACAGGTAATGTGGAATGGCAGCTACCGAGGCGATCCTGGGACAGATGGCCATCAAGATCTAACTAAGAGAAGAAACCTGTTGTGCTGGTTTATGAATAGCATGTTACTGTGATTTGAGAGAGCTCCATATTTTTCTGATTCTTCAAGTTAAACATTGCACTGATATGTGGATTTAAATCTGCTCTGAATCATAAGCCTGGCTCACCAAGCTTTCCTCCAGGAGCTGTGGCATTTCCACTTGACAGGCTTCAGTCAGCAAGGGTTTGCCATGTCATTCAGGGTTGGTCTCTTGGCTTACATAAGACATTTTCCTCAGTTGACCTTTCACCTCCAAAAGTTAAGAGTGGAGGGAAATAAACTATTCACCTGTCATAGGTAGCCACAGGGATCTGAATTGGGTAAGAATTCCTTTTTTGTGCTATATCCACCCCTCATTGGAAGAGATTTTCACCTTCCTGCTTGGAAATAAAGAATAAACGGGAGTTACAAGTATGTGTGTGTGTGTGATTGTGTGTATGATTTCCCAGTCATAACTCCCACTCAGGTTCTTGTCCTCTTGTGGTTAGTATGAGCCCTTTGAAGTGTGGTTGCAACTCTTGGATGATTGCAGCTTGTCACCATTCTGGAAGGTAATTCAGCATTCTCAGGTGGGTATGATCGTCCTATTAGCTAGAAAAAAAAGATGACAATTTGACAAAGATGCTTTCACACTCCTTGTTCTTAGGAGGATCTCTCTTAAGCACTGACAGAGTACTTTTACCCTATCCATTATTAAGGGTTGAAAGGACAAGTGATTGTCTGTTCAGCACCTTACCTCCAACAATGTACTCATTTCCTGGTTTTTATTCACAGTAGTAACAGTGGTTGGCACTTTTGACAGCTAAAGGGAAGAGTCCCACTCCTAGGCCCTGATAACTGCAAAAGCTTGAGTGACAGGAAGAAAGAGACAATAAAATGTAGCCAGATATTTGTAGTCATAGCAGTTGGGGATGATTCAATTTCAGAAGCAAGTGTTTCCTCATACCTATGAGGATCAAGGGTCACTAGTAGTCTACAAGCATGAATGGGCCTGAGACTTGATTATAATCCATGCACATTTTAGAAAATTAAGAGTATACACTGGGGGGGGCGGGGAGATGGCTCAGTGGAATAAGCACTTCCCTAACAAGTGCAAGGCTGAGTTTAATCTGTGGTTCTGCAAAAAAAAAAAAACCCAAAAAAACCAAAAAACAAGGAGTATACACTAGGGGCCAGGGAGATGGCTCAGTGGAATAAGTGCTTCCCAGGCAAGCACAAAGACCTGAGTTCAATCCCCGGTTCTGCCAAAAAAAAAGTATACACTACATTTTAAAAACTAATCAGATCTGTTAAAATAAGCTTCCTTCTAGGGGCTGGGGAGATGGCTCAATAGAATAAGCGCTTCCCTGTCAAGCGTAAAGGTCTGAGTTCAATCCCCAGTTCCGCAAAAAAAAAAAAAAAAATAAAGCTTCCTTCTCTAAAGGGATATTAGTAAGCTAAGAATCATTCTTTTTTTTTTTAGACAGGGTCTTGACATGTAGTTCAAGTTCATGTAGGTCTTGGTCTTGACTCACCTTATAGCCGAGGATGACCTCAAAGTTGGTGTGATCCTTCTGCCTCAAGCCTCCCAAGTGCTGGGATCATAGGCATGGGCCACCACACCCAGCCCCAAAGGGCTTCTGATTATGTTTCTTCTTTGTAAGAGACTCTTTGTTTTTCATTGTGCAATACAAATGACAACCTTTTTTTTTTTTTTTTGTCGCAACTGGGGATTGAACTGAGGCCCTTGAGCTTGCCAGGCAAGTGCGTATTCTACTGAGCTATCTCCTCGGCCCCTGCAAATGACAACTTTGAAGATGATACACAATGTATTAACTTACTAGATGATGTTGTTATAAAATTTTCTTTTATTTTTGCATAAAATTTTAAAACAGAGCTGGTGAGATGGCTCAGTGGTCTAAAGCATCTACTTAGAACAAGTTTAGCAAAGCACAGCGACTGAGGTTCAATCCCCCAGCACCACATGCCAGCCAGCCCCGCCCCTGGTGGGCTGAGCTGGCCACACACACACACACACACACACACAAATAAATAAAATTAAAAAAAAATAAAACACAGAAGGCTAGGGTCAGCCAGATAGCTTAGCAGACTAAAGCTCCTGCTTAGGCAGACTCAGGGGTTCTATTCCCCCCACACACACACATTGTCATGCTGGCCCTGCCCCCAGGGCTCCCTGAGATGGCAATTGAGACTGCACATGGTGACATGGGCCTGTAATCCCAGTGCTTGGGAGGCTGAAAACAGGAGGATCACTAGGAGTCCAATGTGTATAGTGAGAACCCGTAGACCTGGAACTAAACACATTTTTAAAAAAAGTATTGGTATGATATAGGTTCACATAGCCAAAAAGTGGCTATCTAGATTTTATCTAGACTTGCTTTTGACTAGTGGGAATAAAGGTAGAGTTAGATGTGCTTGTGTCTTCCTGTGCAACTTCTTAACCTTCTGTAGTTGAGAATGCGGTTCCTCATTGGTTGAATCTATTAGTCTGTATTTTAAGTACTCATTTTTGGTGGTGAAATTTTTTTTTTTTTTTGTTGGCAGAACCGGGGATTGAACTCAGACCCTTGTGCTTGCCAGGCAAGTGCTTATTCTACCGAGCCATCTCCCTGGCCCCAGTGGTGAAATTTTGCTTAAGGTATTTACAACTTTTAGCATTGCTCTCTGCTAAAGTGATACTGTGTCATGAAAATTACTGGGGAGATTAACTGAAATGTATTTTAGCAGTTAGTAGTA